GATGCTTCCTGCGTTGTTCAATATTTTTCATGTAGTATCCATCAGTATTGCAACTCGAGGCTTGAATTTTTTCTTCAGTTCTTTCAGCTTGAGAAATGGCGACTGTGTTCTTCCCTTTTGGTTTTCTGAATCCAGGTCTTTGCACACTTCATTATGATACTTTACTCTGTCTTCTCCAGCCACTCCTGGAAATCTTGTTTAGCTCTTTTACTTTATCATTTCTTCCATTTGCTTTAGTTACTTTACATTCAAGAGCAAGTTTCAGAGTCTCTTCTGACATCTATTTTGATCTTTTCTTTCTTTCCTGTCTTTTTAATGACCTTTTGCTTTCTTCACGTATGATGTTCTTCATGTCATTCCATAACTTGTCTGGTCTTTGATCATTAGTGTTCAGTGCATCAAATCTATTCTTGCTGTGCTCTCTAAATACAGGTGTGATATATACTCAAGGTCTTATTTTGGCTTTCGTGGACTTGCTCTAATTTTCTTCAACCCCAACTGGAACTTGTATAGGAGCATTTAGTCTGTTCCACGTTCAGCCTCTGTCCTTGTTCTGACTGATGATACTGAGCTTCTCCATCGTCTCTTTCCACAGATGTAGGCAATTTGGTTCCTGTGTAGTCTGTCTGGGGAGGTCCTCATGTATAGTCACTGTTTATGTTGTTGAAAACAGGTATTTGCAAGGAGGAAGTCATTGGTCTTGCATAATTCTATCGTGCTATCTCTGGCACCATTTCTATCATCAAGGCCATGTTTTCCAGCTACTGATCTGTCTTCTTTGTTTCCAACTTTTGCATTCCAATCACCAGTAGTTACCTACATCTTGATTGCATGTTTGATGAATTTCATACTGCAGAAGTTGGTAAAAATCTTCAGTTTCTTCGTCTTTATTTTTAGTGGTTGATGCGTAAATTTGAATAATAGTCACATTAACTGGTCTTCCTTGTAGGCGTATGGATATTATCCTATCACTGACATTGTTGTATTTCAGGATAGATCTTGAAATATTCTTTTTGATGATGAATGTGATGCCATTCCTCTTCAATTTGTCGTTCAAGGCATAGTAGCTCGTATGATGGTCTGCTATGATTGTCTGATGATTGTCTGATTCAAAATGGCCAATACCAGTCCATTTCAGCTCACTAATGCCTAGGATATCGATGTTTATGTGTTCTGTTTCATTTTTGATGACTTCCTATTTTCCTAGATTCGTACTTTTTCATTCCACGTTCCGATTATTAATGAATGTTTGTTGCTGCTGCTTCTCATTTTGAGTCGTGCCACCTCAGCAAATGAAGGTCCTGAAAGCTTTACTCCATCCATGTTATTAAGGTCGACTCTACATTGAGGAGGCAGCTGTTCCTCAGTGGTATTCTTAGTGCCTTCCAGTCTGAGGGGTTTATCTTCTGGCACTGTATCAGACAATGTTCCACTACTATTCATAAGGTTTTCACTGGCCAGTTTCTTCTGAAGTAGGCTGCCAGGTCCTTCTTCCTAGTTAGTCTTAGTCTGGAAGCTCCACTGAAACCTATCCACCATAGGTTACCCTGCTGGTGTTTGAAATACTGGTGGCATAGTTTCCAGCATCACAGCAACACGTAAGCCACCACAGTAAGACAAACTTGACAGAGGAGTGGTGGCCTCTACATCTAGAATGTTCCAGTGGCAGCAATGTAGAAATCTACAGTGAAATCATATCCTACAGTATCCACAATACTGAGAGGAAGCAGTTTGAGTCGCTAGGGCTGAGAAACATTCCAGAAAGTTTCCATGGGCCTCAGGGATCCAGGCTGAACAGTTCCTGGCAGCTAAGAGAAATGAAATTTCTTTAAGGAAACAAAACAGGAGGGCTTATATAGAAATATCTTTGCTTAGAAGCTTTTTCTTATTAAAAAAAAAAAAAATTGGTATCAGTTATGATACGCATTTTTTGGAAGACCATGGACAGCTTATATTTATCTCTAAATGTCATCAGTATAATTGATGAGTTTATTAAATTTCACATGTAAATAGCTTAGTTTTTGTTAAGAACATATTTCAGGTATAAATTTTATTACAGTAGCTCAAAGTGGAACTACCAGAGACTAAAAATGCTGCTTAGAAAAGCTATAGTCCCCATAGTCTCATTTATAACCACAGGCACAGCTAAGAATTTTTAATTTTTAAGACCTTAAAGCGTCAATTTAAGGGCTTCATTTGCCCATAAGCAAAATAACCAAGACTGTGTCCAAATAATATAAAACTTAAATAAATACAAATTTTTTTGGATGAGAAGGGTTAGTACATAAAGATATAAATTTTCTCCAGATTAATCAGTAAGTACAATTTAATTCAGTAAAGTGGACAAATTCATTCTGAAGTTATTTAGAAGAGTTACTCTCAGTATTGTGGATACTGTAGGATATGATTTCACTAAATAAAATAGAATATCCACGGCATTAAAAAAAACTAATTCCCCACCAGATATAAAGCTATAGTAGCTTAAACAATATGGTTTTATTGCAGTAATAACCAAATAGATGAGTGGAACAGAAGGAAGAATCTAGATACAGATCCATGAATATATTGGAAATTAGTATATGATAAATATTTCATGTCAGTAGAGAAAAGAGGAATTATTTTTTAAAATTAGTATTTCATATGCAAAACTAAAATTAATAAGACTTCGTCTATTCTGCTTAGGGGGAACTTAAGGGGCTCACAAGAGTAATTTTCATTTTTCCACATTTTTACTGTACGTGTTGACTTTAGAAGCTAACCAACAAAATATCCCACTGTGATTTCCTGAGCTTATATCCCAAGCACAAAGAAGTAACAAGAAGAAAACCTCATCTATAGAAACCAGAAACCTGATTAATACTGGTTTGCTGGGAAAATCAGTGTAAATGAGAAAGCTATCTAAGAGTACAGATATAATAATACATAACATTTATCAAAAATTTAGATGAGTCTGTTTCTCTTCTTAATAAAGTACTTGCAGATTTTATAGCAGTGTTCTTAGTTCAGTCTGGTGAGATCAAGAAAACATAGAACCTGGAAGCATGCATTTTAGAATCTGAAAATAATAACTGCAGTTTGAAACCAGCATTAGGACAGGTTTTGAGATTTGCTTCCATCCCCATTATTAGCCTATGTCCCTATTCATGTCATGTCCTAAAAAATCATTACTTCTCTATGCATTGTGCTCTCTGCTTCCCTCCGTTAGGAGCGGCCTGCTTCAGACTCATGGCAGAAACTTGAGAAGTCTCGCGAGTATAAGAACAGTAACCAGCTCCGGGAGTACCAGCTGGAGGGAATGAACTGGCTCCTTTTTAACTGGTATAACAGGTGAGGAGCCAGAATAAATCCTATCGTTATGGGCCAGTTTTCTACCAGATGACTGCTGTATCCTGGAATGCTTCGAGTAGCAGTAGTAGAGTGGTGAGAGCAACACAGTCACCAGTTTAGGGATGGTAATCTTTATTTTTATATCAGGTGTCTCTCCAGCCAAAAGGAATGATGTTTAGATATCGTTGACTTTATGGTTTTCTTCTTTGCCAGTCAGCCTAGATGAAAGAAAACATAAAGGATCCTTTAAAGCTACCTTAAGTTTCTAGCAGAAAATGACTCTAAATGGGAGTAGATCATCCTCAACTTTGCTACTTGCTTGTGAGCCGTGGATGTTCTGGACTTGTACTATAGCACTTAGTTTTGAACTCTTTGTGCTCTGATTTCTATCAGAATTTAGCTGAAACAGGTGAAATTTGAGAAAAAGATTGAGATTTTCTTAACATTCTAGAACCTACTCCTATAGTATTGAGTTTAAAAGACAACGTGTTGTAGTGGAAAACACGGTGAAATGACTCTGAAGACCTGTGTTCTCACATAGTCTGCCGCTTGTTCACTGTGTGAATCAGAGCTCGAGCCACTTAACCTTTCCGGTCTCAAGTTGCCCATCTGCACACTGAAGGAGTTAGCCTGGATGGTCGCCACGCACCTTCCAGCGTCACAGCTTCCTGCAGTTGTGGCATTTTGGATCACCAGAAGAGACCAACATTTTTACCCCAATGAGGAGTTTATCGTGTGGATTAAAAGTATGTCCCTTGATGAAACAAACATAGAACAAGAATTGCATAACTTTTTATTTCTCTTGGTCTCAGTTTTGTCTCTATAAAATTATGATAAAACCTTCACTGATGACTTTACAGGTCAAGGTGTACTTCTGAAGCATCTTTAGTTAAAACCAACCTCTACATCTTTCCATTATTGATAATAAATTACCTATATTTCTTACTCTCTGCAGAAAAAACTGTATTTTAGCTGATGAGATGGGCCTAGGGAAAACCATCCAGTCCATCACATTCCTTTCAGAAATATTCCTAAGGGGAATACATGGCCCTTTCCTCATCATTGCCCCTCTCTCCACCATCACTAACTGGGAGCGGGAGTTCCGGACATGGACTGAGATGAATGCTATCGTGTACCACGGCAGCCAGATCAGCAGGCAGATGATCCAGCAGTATGAAATGGTGTACAGAGATGCACAGGTAAGCCTCGCATGAATCACGGAGAGCCAAGATGGCCTGACATCATAGCTCAGTACAGCCTTCCGATCACTTGTCTTCAGGGGTTTTAATGCCCTAGGCCTTGGCTCACTGTTGACTTACTTGGAAGAGATGTTTGTTTGTTGAGGCAAACTTACTCCTCCCTGATAGTTTATTTTAACTTAGAGTGAAACACAGGAATGCAGAGTGTGTTTTCCACTCTGAGATATGCCAGAAGCTTTTTTCAGGACACTGAAAGCTTGGCTCATGAAGTTGCTTTTACATGCAAATTTTATAATGTTATATGCTTAGTGAAGAAAATGAACAGAAGAATAATTTGTACAGAAGAGGGACTCCCAGCCAGGAAATTGGGAGAGGAGGCTAACAGATTTGACAGGAAGGGGAAAAGAGAAAACAGATTTCCAATTGCATAAAAGCACAACAGAATTTTTTTTTTAGTTTTTAGTTTTGGGTAAGTATGATCACTTTGTATGTTTGAGGGTACAGTGCCCTGGGTTTTCAGAATAAAGCAAGGTGAGAATTAAATTAATCCAATCATAGAGAAGCCAGTGCTTTCCCCAGGGGGGTTCAGTAGACAATAGAAGGAGATGCTTGGAAAACATTTAAGATGTGCTCTAACATGATGCAGCTCTGCTCCTTGAATGTGACAGCAGCACTAGGACAGGCTAACAGGTAAAAATGTGTCCTGCCTGATAGCCCTTGTGCCAGGTGAGCCAGGATCGTTACTTTGACTCTGTGCTAGAACTCAAGTTACAAGATGAAACTAATTATATCTGAGAAGTAGTAAAGTGGGTTTCCTGGGCATTCAGGCTGTGCTATGGACCAGCTCCTGGCTGGGAATGTATGAATCAATACCATCTGCTTTTCTTATCATGGCAATTAATAAATAAAAAGCTTCCTTGCTGTGCCTTCCGTACTGCTCATCTTTCTCACCTTTGTGAGGGCACCTGTTCTCTTGCTTGTGTTTCTTTAATGTAGTGAGGTCTAACTAGCTGGTTCATTCTTATATTCTCTCTTTTCTCCCATGAAGGATAGCAGTGCTTGTTGGCTAGGCCCTAGCATTTATAGTGTTGTCTCTTCTAATCCAGTGGGGATCCATTAACAGAATTCTAGAGTGATGGTGTAAAGCTATGCTTCTGGTTGTGTCATTCTCAGGGAAACCCCCTTTCAGGAGTCTTCAAGTTCCATGTTGTCATCACAACATTTGAGATGATCCTAGCAGATTGCCCAGAGCTGAAGAAGATTCACTGGAGCTGTGTGATAATTGATGAAGCCCACAGATTGAAGAATAGGAACTGCAAACTTCTGGAGGGCCTGAAGCTCATGGCCCTGGTGAGAGTTGGCAAGCTTTCTACTAAACACAGATTCCTTCTCTTCACCACGGAGGAGGCATTCCTTAGCCATTCTGCATATAGCTTACTTGACTTGTACCTACTCCTTTTATTCTAGATTTTCTTTTTGCCCTCTATAGCTGTGACAGTATAGGGATCAAATGTTTTTTTGTTACAAATGGGGTCAACAATGTGACTTTGCCATAGATACATCCCCAGAGGGACTCAGAGGAATCTTGAATGCCATAAAATTTGTGACCTGGAAACATTAGGTGTTTTGTCTGGTTTCCAGGTTCCTGAATCATCTGGTACCAAGGATGATGGGCTTTTTAACATTCCTGACTTGGCACCAGTACCCAGTACGCGTTGGGTAGACGCTCAATAATATTGAGTGAATGAATGAATGGTGGCTTAATCAACATGAAATTGCTGCTGAAAAGTGACGTGCAAGCAAGGTTGATGCATTTATTGACTGTATCCTTATAAAGTATTGGCACCCTGTCTTTTCATAAAAGCAGAGACAGTTGTCTCAAGTTGAGTGCAAAATGCTCTAGCTTAATTTTCTCACCAAAACTTAACTGTTTTGGCCCAGACTGTTCATTGTGTACTTTAAATTTCTGCAGGAACATAAAGTGCTGCTCACTGGAACGCCCTTGCAGAATTCTGTCGAGGAGCTCTTCAGTCTGCTAAATTTTCTGGAGCCATCACAGTTTCCTTCAGAGACGGCCTTCTTGGAGGAGTTTGGAGACCTGAAAACAGAGGAGCAGGTAAATAGGGGTCTGAAGGATTGAGGAGACAATGTGATGGTTCCTTTCACCACCAAGGAGAGAACAAATCACTGTGGGGACAGAAGTTAGCCAGTTCTCACATCCCTGGTAAAATGGGCATTGCTTCCTTTATTTTATTTGTTTGTTTATGTTAGGCACAGTAAGCTGATTGTTAGCAGGTCTTATTGCTTCAAAGGGTAGGTGAGTGAAGATCCAAAATATCAGGCTCCCTGCCTTCACTGATCCCACTTGAAAGTCTGATGATTTTGCTGGTAGCTCTGGCCTCAGGAGCATGGTGCTTTCTACTGCTTCCTTCATCTTTTATCCTTCCTCCTACATAATCTGAAACATGTTCTCAGGCCCATCCTCTTGAGTACAACAAAATACACAGGTGGTGAGGTGCAGCAGGCAGTCACATACCTAGAGTGGTTGATCAGCCCAGTTTTGCCCAGTTAGACTAAATTTTCTCAGTTTTCCAAGGCCCAATCCCTCAAGTCCAGCTTATTGGACGCAAAAGTTGATTCAGAACAATTGACATTGTTGAATGTCTATTGACTGGGTATAGAAGTCTCTATTAGGGATTATAGAAATCATCCAGATAAATTTAAATATCATAAAAGGAACAAATAATAGGGTTGGGAGCTTTAAAGTAGAGAGAAGTCACGTATGTTTGGGAATCAGGAAAGACTTCATGGGGAGAGGACAGTTTGAAGATGGACTTTGAAGGATGGGTAAGTTTTCAGCCGGTGGAAAGAGAAGAGGTGGTGATACTTTGCATAGAAAAAACCAGCATAATTAGAGCCGTGGAATTTATTCTGTAACAGGGAGCTGTCTGGTTGAACTGGAAACAAGGTGGATGAATTGTAGAATGTAAGGCCAGAGGGGTTTAGGGTTATATTGTGGGTTTATCTCGAAGACAGGTGGAAGAATTTGACAGGTGATAGAAAAGCCATGCAAGGCTTTGATTGCAGGAATGACATCATTAGCTCTGCTAAATTAATGTAGCAGTGGTGTGAAAGTAGGCTGGGGCAACGAATTTGGAAACTGAGAGGGTTTGGAAATTTCTCTAACAGATGTCAAGAGTACACTCTCTGGTTCCAATCTGTTTCTTTCTACTTCTGCTGCAAGTCAGACTTTGAGAGCAGTGAATAATTAAACTTAATTCCCCTTTTCTACATTTGCAATATCTATTGATCCTTCAAAAGTCAGCTCTAACATTCTCTCCATTTTTGGCCCATGAGAAATGCATCCTCTTCTCCCATTGCACTTAATTTTTGGTATGCATTTTTTCTTCTTCCTAGACAATGACCTTCTTGAGGACAAGGCCCACATCTTCTCCAAAATTGTGTTTGTTGTATTGACCAGCACAGTGTCTGGCATATAGTATACTCTAAATGATTCAAGGTATGAACTAAGTGAAGGGCAAAAGCTGAACCCAGCATGTGGCAGATTGGAATTTGTCTGTCTTTAACAATTAGCTAGCAGTGTCTTTTCTCTTTGGGTTCTTAGTTTCTACCCGTTTGGGGGATTCATAAGTACCATGGTTGGTAAAATCAAGGTCTCATAAAAGGGTTAGGTTTAGGATTGTGGTTAGTTAATTAGGAGAAAGCCATAAAAATGACATCGAATGTCTGTATTTTAAACCACGGTAAATAACTGTTCTAGAAACCATCTGTTTCCAAAATAAAGCATATTCATTCATCATTGTTTGAAACATGCTCCAGCAAGTAACTCATCTAAATCACTCTGTTTCTTCAGGAAGCCTTACCACAGCATCTCTCCCACACAACTTGTTTATGCAGACTCTACCCATTTTGAAATTTTTGAATAGCCCTTTCTGACTTGAAACTTAATTTCTTTTGCACTTGAATTTTCCTGCCAGTGTTAATCTTACTGGTATATTTTAGCTCAGGGTTAACCCAGGTGCCTTGACTTTGAATCCCTACCCTGCCTTTGTCTTCTCAGGAAAGAGAGCATGTCTCCTTGCTGGTGCACTCAAAATGAGTAGAGATCTGCTGTACAGCCCTGGGCTGTTAGAACAGACAAGTCACAGCATAGACTCTCACCTGACCTAAAGTGCCCTGGTGTGACGGCTTCCCGGATGGAATGGGAGATGTCACTTTAAAATGTTAGCTCTTTACCTACTGCTACCTCCAAACATGTATGCTATTGTTATTTAGAAGGTGTAGGAAGAATCCTTTTCCAATTACCTCTACCTCTTAACTCTGTTCTTGCAGCATCTAAGTCTTCCCTTTGTAATATATCACTTGTACTTCCTAACATGACTTAAAACGTTCCTCAGGTAATTACTGCGTGCGTGTGTATGTTAGAGAGAGAAAGAGATTTGTTTTCTCCATCCTAGAGATTAGGTAGTGTCTTTTTTTATCTTTCTCCCTACATATTTTGCAGGGTTGCCACATAGGTTCTCAATAATTACTAATTATAAACCAAATCCCTTTTTTCCTTTTAGTACTATTATAAACTCCCCATGTGCAGTGATCAGTCATGATCTTTCTTTAAATCTATTGCCACAGTGCTGTGGTTAGATGCTCGAGACTGTAGGGAAGACTGAAATACCCCAGTAATCATTAAATCTAGATTGGGGCAGGTGAACAAATCTCCTTTCCCCGGACAGGTGAAGAAACTGCAGTCTATCCTAAAACCAATGATGCTTCGGCGGCTGAAAGATGACGTGGAAAAGAATCTTGCTCCCAAACAAGAGACGATCATTGAAGTGGAGCTGACTAATATCCAGAAAAAGTATTACCGTGCCATCTTGGAGAAGAACTTTTCCTTCCTGGCCAAAGGGGCAAATCAGCACAACATGCCCAATCTCATCAATACCATGATGGAGCTGAGAAAGTGCTGTAACCATCCTTACTTAATCAATGGTGAGTGGGGGGAGCAGGAAGTAACTCAGGCCTGGCATGCACCTTTACTAAAAGCTGTTGATGATCAAAGAGCTCATGTATTGAGTTCCCATTATATGCTAAATAAAAAACCAGTTGCCGTTGAGCCTGTTCCAACTCATGATGACCCCATGTGTGTCAGAGTAGAACTGTGCTCCATAGAGTTTTCAGAGGTAGGTCACCAGGCCTTTCTTTCGAGGTGCCTCTGGGTGGACTCGAACCTCCAACCTTTGGTTAGCAGAGAGCATATTAACCATTAGCACCACCCAGAGACTCTGCATTATACGCTAGGATGTATGTATTCTCACCTTTTTAAACAGAGTATAAAACTTAGGTTCAAAGAGATTAATCAATTTGCCTAAGTAATCTAGCCTAGTAAGTGCACAGAGCCAAGGGTTGAACCTATCTCTACCAGTTCTCTGCCTCTGTAGTCCAGACTCTGCCTGCCAGAAGATGGATATCACTCATTAGTTTGCCGTCCTTTATTTACTTGCAATCCTGTCCATACCTTCCACTTCGAGACATGGAAATGTGTTACTTAAGTGAATAAATGATAATGCTGCAGTGAGATTGAAACTCTCTGCAGATAGATTAACAGTTCACCGTACTAGTTAAAAGATGTCAGAATCCTAAGGAGTCCTGGTGGCACAGTGGTTAAGTGCTCGGCTACTAACCGAAAGGTTGGTGATTCAAACCCACCAGCCTCTCCATAGGAGAAAAGACCTGGCAGTCTGCTTCTGTAAAGATTATAGCCTAGGAAATCCTATGGGGTAGTTTTACTCCGCCCTATAGGGTCGCTGTGAGTTGAAATCGACTCAGCAGCACACAACAACAATAATCAAATTGTTAAAATAAATAAATAAATAAATAAATAAATTCATATGGAAATGCAGGGGACCTAGAATAGCCAAAAAACAATCTTGGGGGGAAAAGAAAGAAGTCAGAATCCTTGGCTTCTGTTCTCTTAAAGCTAGTCCTTGTGATGTCAAGAGCTATGAAGATCTTTTTTGTCAACTTCACTTTCTGTGAAGGTTTCTTGCGTAAGTCATCTTAGGACTTGGTATATCAAAAGCTTCTCTCTCTCTACTTGGAGAGACTTCCTAGGAGAGCAGTGGACCAGCGTGCTCTGCAAGACGGCCCTGCTGCTGCTGAAGAGCCAGGGATGCACAGCATCTCATTGGGCTGCTGGTCCAGGGCCTGAGAATTCACGTCTCACAGACAGCTTCATTTTTCCTAGGATCTGTAAAGCCAGGGGGTAGCTTTTATCCTAACATGTTGTTCAAGGAATAATTTTGTTCTGTTCCTTTTCAGGGGCAGAGGAGAAAATCTTAGAAGATTTCCGAAAAACCCACAGCCCTGATGCTTCTGACTTTCAGCTGCAGGCCATGATTCAGGCAGCAGGGAAGCTGGTGCTGATTGATAAACTGCTCCCTAAGCTGATTGCTGGTGGCCACAAAGTACTCATTTTCTCCCAGATGGTGCGCTGCCTTGATATCCTGGAAGATTATCTCATCCAGAGAAGGTGAGAATTATATCAAAGCTGCAAGCATTTCCTTTTCTTTTATATCTTTCTTATCCATTGAAAAATGTAGAAAAAGGAATCTCAATCGCCTCCTGAAGATTGAGTAAAATTCAGAGTTAAATCTTATGCACAACTATTCTCAAGCTTAACTGTCTGGAGTGAATTTCATAGCCTGTAACATGGAGCCCTTACTTTGCTTTAAAAGAGTCTGCATGTTTATTTGTATTCATTTTAGTTGGAAGAAAAATAATTCAGATAGCATTAGAGAAGGCTAAAAAATAATGTACTTACCTTTTCCCCCTCTCTTTTTTGCTTAATGATGAGATAAATATATCCTCGAAAGCATCACTATATCAAATTTCTAAAAGAGCATAAGCTGACAACTGACAAAAAAAATAATTTGGGGATATTTAATGTTCTTTCTCAGCAAACCCTCTGAGGCTTTATGATACACTAGCTATGGCATCCTAATTTATTTTCTGGTTCATACCCCTATAATTCTTGAACCTAAACTTTGTTACTTATGCAAGTGAAATGTCTGTGGTGTTATATGGGTTATTTGGATTCTGAGTAGGTATTACATTTGTTTCATCACACTCTGTACCTTAGATTTCCAGCAATTGTGATACATCAATGATCTGAAGATGATAAATGGATCTTTTTAAATGTACTCTTAATGTTAAAAGACTTTTCAAGACCATAGAAATTATTATCCTAGGCATTGCTAAGTTTTAAAGGGAATCTGTGTTTTCCTGTAGTAAAATCATAACAAATCTAAGTTGTCTTAACAAATATTCTTACAAGATTCTGTTTGCTTTTATAATGTAATTTATAGAAAGTATTAAAGGAAGTGAGAGATTTAACTATGGGATGTGCTGACATTTAATGTTGCATAAATCTCAGAAGCCTCATTACACAATAAAAGAGTTTCTTAAAGCCCTACAGTGGAGATTTATATGCAGAGAATTCTTGGGACATATTATTTTCTTTTCTCTAAGGAAACTACAGTGAATAAATTAAAACTGGTAAAGCAGTTTCTTATTTTATAAATTCACTATAGAATAGGAGCCCATTGCTGGAGCACTTGCTTCTTATAAATGTATTGTCTTACTCTTCATAATATATACAACTATTAGTTTGCCAATTTTTTAGAAAACACACCCAAAAAAATGAGTAACAACATAGTGAACAAACTTTTGCTAGGCACCTGTTGCCGTCAAGTCGATTCCAGCTCATAGTGACCCTATTATTTAGCTCTTTAAGCTACTTTTCCTTTATCATTTACTGCTCACTTCGTTTTCAAATTACAGAAGTATTACAGTATTACTTGAAAATATGAAAATGTATACCACCACCACCCACACAAAGCCCCCTTCGTGCTTTGGGATTTACATTTTCACTCTTCTTGCTTTGTGCATACATTATGTTTAGTTTTATTGATTGAATTGAGATTATATTCTGCCTTGTAACACACATTTTTTATTTAATAGATTATGAAATTTTTTCTTTATTCTTCTACAGTGTAATTTTGATGATCTGCATATTCTTATCGGTTGCCTCCCAATTTTTCAGCATTTTAAGGAACTCTGTGAATATCCCTTTATATTCATTGTGTATGTTTCTAGTTATTTCCTTAGGATAAACTCCAATGTACATTTTTAAGAGCATTTGATAACATCCTCTAGAAAGATTGTTCTATTTATAGGCCTTTCAGCAGTGTATGAGAATGAGTCTTTTTCTATACTCTGATCAGTACTATTATTTCCTTTTAATATCTTTGCTAATTCCATAAGCCAAAATTATAGTGCCTTGTTTTAATTTGTGTTCGATTGCTAATATGAGTGAATATTTTTATATTTATTAGCTTATTTATATTTCCTTTTTTGTGAATTGCTCATTCATGTTCTTCATTTTTTGTTCTTTTAGAGCCTTTGTTAATAATTTTAAGAATTATTTGTTTATATAAGAATATTGCGTGAATACTTTTCCCAATCTTGCTTTTTTTTTTTTCCTTTTACTTTTGTTTATAGGTATGGGTTTTTTGCTTGTTTAATAGTCAGATCTCTCAGTCTTAGCTTGAAATAGCCTTACATATACTTAGAAAGGTTTTCCTCAACTCCCAACTGTGAGAACATAAATATTCTGAAGTATTTTCTTTTCATTCTTTCATGGTTTCTTCACCTGCACACCATCCAGCAGGGTTCATCTAGCCTTAATATTATCATTACTCTTCTCTTTTTAATTTCATTTTTTATTTTCATCAGAGTGATACATGCACATAATTTAAAGAGCCAAATCATTCTATTAGACTGTAAATATTTTCATTTCCCAATTAACTACCAGTCCCCCACCCCCCCAGTTTCCCACTCCCCAGAAGCAATTACTTTCAACTGTTTATACTATTTCTTTTGGTATTTAAAGCTATATCTCTAAATAATATTTTTATAATTTATTATTTTTAGTTTTAGACTATTATCTGTTCTCACTTTGGAAAATGAATGTCCTTCTTACACTGCCCCCAGTGCCAACACTTATGCAATTTCTTGTCCTCCCATCTTCCCAATATGTCATATAATACTTTGGGTTATGTTAATATTCAGTCTTTATTATAACTTATGTAAATGATAAATTGCTGTTTACCTTTTCTTTCTTGCACAATTTTAATTTTCCCTGAAGCTAAAACTTACCTGTTTTTATTCAATTGTTTAACTTGCTCTGTACTTAAATTTCAGCTCCAAACTCTGCCCCAGTTGTCTAAATCTCCTCTTGTTTTGTTCACATCAGTTTCGTTTTCTTATCTCTCCTGGGGCCTTCTGACCTTCTCCTGTTTGGCCTAGTGCTCTTCCCACCTAGGACACTGTAATACCCCTCTTTCATCACAATGACAATTTTCTTTGCTTTTCTCTTGAATCAGATCTCCTTGTTGGTGGATGCTATATTGGAGCATTTCTTCTAGGGTCTTCTGAGAAGGGATGACTGATAGGTAAATTTTGAGACTTTGTCTGAAAATGGTTTTAGTCTACCCTCGTTCTTGAGTAATAATTTGGCTGGGTTTGAGGTTCCAGGTTAGAAATCATATCCCCTCAGATTTTTTGAAAAGTTGAAAGTCCTCCTAATTACTGATCTGTGTTTGTGATATGGTTTTGTTTGTTTTGTTTTTAGAAGAGGCTTTGAGATTTTTCTCTTTGTTCCCAATGCTATGAAATTTTACAGTACACTACTTCTTGTGTGAGATCCATTATACTGGATACTAAGTGAATCTTTCCAATCTGAAATCTAAGTTCCTTCACTTCTGAGGAATTTTCTTGAAGTTTATCTTTCCTTATTTCTTTTTGTTGTGTTTTCTCTTTGTGGAATTCCTATTATTTGTATGTCAGACCTTCTAACTGATCAGCTAATTTTCTCTTTTCTCTGTTTTCCATTTTATTATCTTCTCCTGTACTTTCTGGTAGAATTCCTTTATTCTATCTCCCAACTTTAACCCCTGGGCTGATTTAATTTTTAGTTTTTAAATTTTTTTTCTTTAATTATGTATTTAATTTCATAGAACATTTTCTGCTCTCATTTTTCCATTTTTATTGACAGATATAGTATCTTCTCTTGTTTTTCTGAGGATAATCTTGATAGTTTCTTTTTTTTTTTTTTTTAAATCTTCCTGCTGTATCTATTTTCTCCAGGTCGTAGTTTTCTCTGTCTGTTGTGTTAGAATTCTGGATTTACTTTTTATTTTTCTTCAGCACTTTAAAGTGTTATTCCATTGTATTCTGGCCCCCATTGTTTCTAATGAGAAGAGCTGAAGTTATTCAAATCATTGTTTCCTTGTATATAATGTGTTGTTTTACTCTGGCTGTATTCAAGATTTTCTTTTAATTTTTGCAGTTTGTGATGTGTGGATTTCATCCTGGTTGCATTCACTAAGCTTCTTGAATTTATAAATACATGTTTTTCATTGAATATGGGAAGCATTTGGTCATTATTTCGTCAACTCTTTTTTTTCTCATTCTTTTGTCTCTTTGTGAGACTCTAGTTACCTGTATATTAGACTCTGATATTGCCACAGGCCTATGAGGTTCTGTCTGTTCATTTTTCTTCTTCTTTTGTTTGGCCTTATCTGTCTTCAAGTTCACTGACTCTTTCCTCTGTCATCTCCATCACGCTTGATAAGCCCATCCAGTTCTTTCTTTATTTTAGCTATTGTGTTCTTTTAATTCTAAGATTTCCGTTTGATTCTTTAATATTTTGTTTCTCTGCTGAGGAATTTCCTGTCTTTTCGTTCATATGAGTGTATATTTCTCCACTTTACTGAACATAATCATAAGAGCTGTTTTAAAGCTCTTGTCTGATAATGATAACTTCTCAGGGTTGGCATCTGGCATCTGTTGATTGTCTTTTCCCTTGAGAATGGGTGACATTTTCCTGTTTCTTCATATCTTAGGTACCCTTCAAAGATAATTTTGTTGTTGTTGTTGTTTTTGTTTGTTTGTTTTTACTGGGCATTTTGATTATTATGTTGTGGAGATTCAGAATTCTGTCATATTGTTCTGAAGATGTTGGTGTGATGTTTTTTATTTGGAGGCAGTTAACTAAGTTAGACTCAAAATGCAAACTTTGCCAATGTGAGAAACACCTCCAATCTGAGCTCAGACTACTTTCTTTATTTTATTTTTTGTTATTGTTGAGAATATACACAGCAGAAAATATACCAATTCAACAGTTTCTACATGTACAATTCAGTGACATTGATTACATTCTTCAATGGTTACGCAACCATTCTCACCTTCCTTTTCTGAATCGTTCCTCCCCCATTAACATAAACTCACTGCCCCCTAAGTTTCCTATCTCATCTTTTGAGTTGCTGTTGTCAGTTTGATCCCATACAGATAGTTCTTAAAAGAGCACAATTCTCAAGGCAGACATTTTTTTCAATTAAGCTTAACTATTGTTTGGTTTAAAGAAGACTTCAGGGGATATTTTTGGTTTAAGGTTTAAAGATGATCTCA